ATGGAGAAGTGGTTGTCCTTGCTACCCTCCCCCACGCCAGTCCTGTTCCCTGGCAACAACCACCTTCAGATCGCTGAGCTGTCTTGTTGGATTTATATCTTCCTAATTTAAAATAATGTGCTGTGCCAGGGACCTCTGGAAAATCCATCACCTGCTGGCCAAGGCACTAGGCCATTTGCCAGGTGACAATCCTCCCCTAACCTGGGAAACAGGCAGACCTGCCAGACTGTCCCAGCGACACAGTGTTCTTACTTTTAGGACATGGAGCTACAGAAGTGGCCCAGTTCATTCCCAAGAGATAATTTATGTAAGTAACAAGGTGAGATGTTCTGCCATATTTTTTCTATCATACTCTATCTCAGAAGAACTGACCCACACTCGCTATTTTTCTGTCTATTCAAAAGTAATATAGGCCTAAATGCAACCCCATGATAAACTCAGGAGCATTAAAGGGCAAAAAGTCAAGTGGAAAACAGGTGTGGAGGTCAGTTCCCCACCCGCAGAGGAAGCAGGGAACTCAGCATGCTGGAGCTTGAGTGTGGACAACTCTAGGATGTGGGTACACTTATTTCTAAGAACAGTGGATGGGAGTGACAGGCCAGGGGGAGGTGTTGGGACTGCTCTGTCACTTTTGGACTTGCAAAAAAAAAATAAATAAATCACCAATAAAAAGCCGAGAAGTCAGTAGTGGTAATATGTGTATTTAATGTTATTTTTATATACACATTTTAAAAACTATTGAAAAACTCTTTTAGATAATCATCTGTCTCCAGAGTTCTAATACTTTCATTGTTTTACTTTAAAAATAAAACAAACAGAATCTATAACCAATCAGCTAACTTAGGCCCTGAAAAAGAGACCCTCTCAAAGCATATTCTTACTTTTCCTTGTTTTGTCAATTAGAACAGGATTTTCAATGTTGGAAGATAAGAATTTAGTTCATTTTCTTCCCAATATCCCAGTTATATCACTGTTTTGGTTAAGTAGTTGGTATTTAGTAGTTGATACTTCTGTTTATTATTGTTCTTGTTATGTAAATATTTTTCTCTGCTGAGCTGTTAAGTATACTATGATTACTTACATGGTTTGTTTTTCCTGGAGTTGATAGGTCTCCCTTTTCTCCCTTGCTTCATTTTTTTATGACTTATTGCTTATTATTCTAAAAACTCCAGTTTATACGAATAATCTCTTTTGTGCAAGCATGTGTGTGCACATGTACACACACACCCCCCCATACCCACACCCATATCTTATTCCCACCCACCTCCTTTTTTCTGGAAACCTCTGTTCTGGAGTCATCAACCTCCTCTCCCATCAGATCCTCTGAGCCTGTGACAGTGTTCATAGTCAGGAATCTAGTAGCTTCCTGTGATGACAGAAGGTGGATTTTCCAGAACGTGCCTGTCTGAAAACATAATTATTCTACTGCCACACTTGATTTACAGAGCTGGGTACAGCACTCCAGGTTAAAATGATGTTCCCCCCAAGATTTCTAAGGCGCTGTTTCCTTCTCCTCTAGCTGTACATGCTGCTTTTAAGAAATCCAATGCTTTTACTTGTGGCCTTTCTTTTCTTCCCTGTGAGTTCTCATATCGTCTCTGCAGCCCTGGCTTCCCACCCTTCATGATGACATGCCTGCCTGGGAGACTATTTTTATTCCTTGTGCTGGGTACTGGCAGGCCCTTCTCATTGGGAGACTCACGTCTTCACTTCTGGGAAATTCACCTGTTGTATCTGCCGGTAAGTTCCTCTTGTCAAGCGCCTATAACTCAGAGTTAGACATCTTGGATTCTCTTATTTTCCCTCAACTGTCCAATTCACTGTATGTGTATGTGTTATACTTTCTGGAAGATATTCTTGACTTTATCCTCTAATTCTTCTGGATTTTTTTCTTGTTTATTGGTTTTAATTTCTGAATATTCATTTTTGTTGTGATCATTTTTATTTATTTTTTGTGATCATTTTTAAAAGGTAATATCGTGTTCTCGTTTCAAAGATGCAGCTACCGTCTAAGGATATTTATAAAAACTATTCATTTTTAAAAGTATTAACCCTGTGCAATATCTGTTACCTCTTGTTTTAGTTTTCTTTTTATTTTTGGCTCTATAAAGCTGGAGAATTTCCTCAAATGTTTGGTGATTTTTGGCTGTCAATTTATATTTTAAAGTGAGGATTAAGATGCTGACTGCAGGTCCGTGTAAACATCCTCAGTCCAGGACAGTCAGGTGGGAGGTAGCTTTTTTCCTGAGAGATCCCCAAATGTTGATATCTGAAGTTCTTTCCTTCAGGAACAAATAATCTCCAAACAAGTTCCTGCAGATTCCCGTTTGGGGGTGGAGGCAGAGGAGAGGGCCATATCAGGTCACTTCAGTTCCTCAAACAGGACAGAGGAGAGGCGGGGCAGCCCTGGAGTTCAGAGAGCAGACATTGACACCTTAGCTTCTGCTCGGCTGCAGTCCCCCAGGAAGTGTGTCACTTGCTGAATTTCTCCCAAGATGAGAGACTGTTGTGGGGTAGGCAGCTGTGGAGGATCAGGGAGAAGACCTCAGGTCTAATGTTTAGCTGCTCTCTGCTCAGATTCAGAGTTAAATCCGCTATGTCCACCCCATGGAGTCTTCGGCAATACTCCAACAGCCTGGCCCTCCCTGGGGCTGCTTTCTCGCGAGCTCCCCTTGCTGTGGGTTGTCTCTTGCTAGGTTAGAGTCAACTCCGCTCTGCAGGTCAGACCCTCCTCTGCCAGCCATCTCTGGTGCACTCTGGCCTCCTCCCTAAGTCTCCTTTTTATCTTTTTAATTCTTTCATCATCCTTTAGGGGTGTTTTGGGGGTGGAGTGGCAGACAGGTTAAACGTGTATATTCAGCTTGCCATATTAATCGAATGTCTCTTTAACTGCCTGCCTCTTCATTGGCTTCTTTTGGTATAATTTTGCTCACATACTAAAAACAGGTCTTATAAATACAAAGCTTTTTTAAATGAATTGATTTATTACATTGCTAATTTTGGGACAGTAACTTCTCCCCTGAGGTGTAGTCCCCGTGGTTCTCCCACCACCACAGCACCAGTGATCCAGTCCCCTGTCTCTTATGCTCTTCCCTCCCCTGTTTTGGCCCCTCTCCCTCCCCTATCCACCTCCTTTCTCCCCTACTGTATGCCTGAGATCTGTGGTCAGCTTACAACAAATATTTCTATAAAAAGAAGGCGATTAGCTCTGTTGAGAGAATAATCCATTGGGTTATTCAAACCACAGGCGTTACATGCTCTGAAGAGGAAAAAGAAATCCCAACTTAGCCTTTGACTGTCATTTAATTAATGTACTGTCCTCTCAATGCTCCAATGTTCCAAACGCCTTCACTGTTTTACTGATATATTATCACTAAGTACCTTCTCGGGCACATGACAGGAAGTGGTACAAAGCATGTTAGCATTTTGGTTATTCTGAATTGTCTCTAATATTTGAACACATTCAGCCATAACCGAAGAGCCTATTTAGAGATAACATACCTTTCTGCTAATAGAATGTTTCTAAATGTGAAATAATGAATAGCTAGATACTAGGAAAAACCTAGAAAGAACACAGAGGTTATGGCGAGTCTGTTGGAAATGAACTACCATGTTTGGCAAAAAAAAAAAAAAGGTTTTGGTCTCGAGGAAGAAAAAAGAGAAGGGTTTTGATAAATACTTTGCATTTCACTTGTCTGAATAAGACATTATTTCTACTATGAGTCTCTGCCCAATTAAGAACTTAAACATTTATAACTGAAAAACTGGTTCTTTTCAAACAAATAAAAAAAAAAAATCTTTCTATAGACAGATACTCAAAGCCACAGCAGGGAGAGTGGGAAGGAAGAGAGACCCAACAGCAAATCAAAGGTGACCTTAGAATCATTTGCAGAGACGGGAGACCTCTATGACAAAAACCACAAGAAAGGACAATGTTCCAAGATAGAAATACTACCCCAATACTACCAAGGCCCCAGATATAGCAGGCACATGGGAGGCAATGCCTGTTTCTGCCCCTGCAAGTCTGCCAGTGCTCAGTTCAACCAACCTCCACTGTATTTAAATGTCGGAGAGTATGGAATTCACCCCCTCCCTACTGTCATATATAACATTCCCTACAAGGATGGCAGGAAACCCTGATGACACTGTATTCCTGGATACATTATTAGCTGTTTTTTAAGCCCAAATATTCAGTGTTCCTTTCATCTTTTTCTTCAAAATTCAGCCAACTACATGAAAACACATGCTAAAAATTTTGCTGATGGGTACACTGGACCCAGTCATTCCTTGAGTTTAAGTGGAAATGTGTAGTTAATGCACATTGTGGTTGACAATTTTCTCCATTATTGATCATTTCTTAGCTTTTAATAACCACAATCATCATCGACCTTACATTGTAACAGCATGTGACATATGCTGCTTCCTTTTATCAGACTCTTGATTTATTTATTTGCTTGGCTCCAACCTGGCTTCTCAGATGGCTTGACACTACCTCTTCTAACAACCCTTCCTTAACAACTCTGAGCCAAACCTCCAACCCAATTTCTCACAGTACTCCTTTTACTGAATTAGGTGTTCCTCCTCTGATTCCAAAACCATCCTCTGCATATTACCTTCACCAGACTAATCACATAGTACATTATTTGTTTATAAAACACATCTCTCCAACTACTCTTTAAACTCCTCCAAGGCAAGGATCATTGTTCATCTTAATGTTCTAGTTCACAGCACAGTGTCTGGTATTTAGTAGACATTCTAAAACATTTGTGAAATAAATGGATAAATGCATGAATAAACAGATGACTTGAAACTTAGAGCCTTATAAATAGTTCTTTATAAAATATTTAGTCCATTCCATTTTGCCCAAGATTCCCTAAAGAATTTCCTAAGAGTTACACCAAGATATTAAAACAAGGAAATCATTATCTAGGTTAAATAAAATATTAACATTTTCTTATGAAAGTAAGATAAAAAAAAAAAAAAAAAACGAACAAACTTACCGGCAAAGTTCCAGGCAGGGATGCATCAAAGAAAGACACCAAAGAATTTGGAGGTGCTGAGAAGTAGACTTGAGATCCAGAGAAGAGTTTAGAGTTGGAGGAAATCTGAGCATGAATTTCCAAACCTACCACAGCTGCCCATCTCTGTTCACTAAGAAGAAAGATATAACTGTTAAGACGTAGTTTGACCTGCCACCATGCATGAATTTCTATAAGCCTAAACCACAAATGTTAATTTCATACTTGTGTTTTTTAACTTACTAAAATTTTACATCCTTACACTAAAAAAAGTGTCATATTGTAGTGATGACAAAATCAAAACTAATTCATAAAGCACACCTACAAGAATAGCAAAATAAATTTCACTGGCATCTCAAAATAACTGAACTGGGTATTACGTGGCGACTGGCTGACTTCAGTGAAAAGCAGAGTTTATTGAATTAACTTTTCAGTAAATGAAGAAAGCTGATCTTGTGAACATTATTTAGAATTAACATAAACATCAGGATTTGGCTAGTAGAGAAATAATTGTAAATAAATAGTTGCATATCTCATTAAAAAAGGAAATTATCAGTTTTTAATGCATTTAGTAACACCAGCTTGAAAATACAATGACCAGAGTGATAGAGACATAACAGATCACCATAAGTGATATTTTCCCTGGAATTTCATGCAAAGGAAAACATTAAACCATCAGATGGGGTATTTTTTTTTTTTTTTGTTCTCCAAAGCACTTGCAATTCCAGAGATCTAACTTCAGATTCTTTTGCTTATTGTTCATGCTTGATTGGAATCAAATTCAGAATTAAATGCTATAAATAATCCCTCTTATTTGGCTACTCTTATTTTGTTGGGTCTGTATATACATTATATATATAGTTCTCGCCAAGATCTTGTAAGTATGCTAATTTCATCTAAAACCCATATATGCTGGACACACTACAGCTGACCTATTCACACATACTGTTTCTGTATTTTTGTCTGTTCTTACCCTGGTCTTCTAAGCAATTTTCTGTACTATAATATTTATACATTTTGGGTTTTGTTTTAGTTATTTCAACACATAAAGTTCTATATGGGATCTATAATATTGCAAGGTATTTTCTTTTTTAAACTTGGAAGCACAGCCTGTAATTGAAAAGAATTAAATGAAGAACTCATTAGAAATTCCACATTCACTAAAACATTACTCAAAGCATTTTTGCAGTTTCATTACATGAGAGAAAAATACACTTTCCATTCATAGTTGATCTAATTTGTGGAAAGAATAAAAACGGAATGATTCTGGACAATTTCCCTCTGTTCCTCCAACTGAAAAGCAAAAATAATACCAACCTAACAATCTCAAAGGATAAACAGAATATTAGACACATGCCTTATGTTTCTGTTTTTAAAAATAAACCACTTAAGTCTTATAAAGTGAAGTATAAACAGCTGTTAAGAGAAAATTTAGCAAAATAAGCAAAACTCTCTACATAACCAGAGGGAAGATAACTTGTACTGCTTCCATCCTCCACAGACAGGTGGTATTTTCTGAACTAATGACATTAGTCATCACTATCCAGTCTGTAGGTAAAGATTCCTTTTCTACCTTTACAACACTACTGGCGTACAGTTGCGCTAAATAATTGTCAGCTTAATATCCTGCTTTTAGTGTCACAGACTAGTAAGGTAACCACGTTCACTCTTTGTGGAGCCTTCAATTTAATTAATAAAATATATATTTGCAATTTACATTCGCGAGTCCCCCAAATTTGCCTATCTATCTGAACATGTGGTTTATATGCAGGGGGCCTGTTTTATGATCTCATTTAGGTTTCAGCCCAACATCCTGCCACCCAACAAAACGTGTACAAATAAAGTCGGACTGTAGTGGTCATCGTCTCCCCAGCTCCCCAGTTGCACCTCACACTTAATGGGACGGTAATGGCATGAAATAATATACCCTTTCCTCGGCTTCTGGGCCGTGATGAGGGGCTGATGAGCTACTGAGCACCGTCCCCTTTTCCCGTTGGGCGTGGACCCTGTCGGAGAACCTCTTCCCTGGCGAGAACTGCTGTCAAGGCGGGCTAACGCCCAACGCCTTCCAAGACAGCACCGGCGCAGCATGGGCGCCGCCATTGCTTCGCCAGAGTCCTGATCACGTGATGCGACGCTGCCTGCCGCGGGGCTCCCTGGGAAGCGTAGTTCTGGAAATGTATAAAAGCTCTACAGGCCGGGACAGGAAGACTACTATTCCCGGTGAGCACCTCGACTGGAGGACTGCGGCACCCGGGCCCCGAGGGGAGGGAAGGAGAAAAAAAAAAGCCGAGGTGGCAGGGCTTCCGGGTTGGAAGGCGTGTCTCCTCCTAGTGGGGAGTTGGAGAGGTCAGTGGCAGCAAGTGTGTGTGTGTGTGTGTGTGTGTGCGCGCGTGTGTGTGTGCGCGTGTGTGTGTGTGCGTGTGTGTGTGTCTGAATTTGACTGAGAGCTGTTAGTGACTGAGATCCAACGCAGAAAAATTTGGCAGGGGTTTTATACCTTGGTTACTCTTTCCAGCCGAAGTAAATGACTTTGACAACTCCCAGAAGACTTCTTAAACTCCCCCTTCCTGCCATCCACTCAGTTATTTTTCTCTATTGCCTTTTCCACTCAACACAGCAATACATGCATGAATACAACAGATACTTGGAAGCCTGTTATGTAGAGGCCAGGCACAATTTGTAGGCAGTGGGAAGACAGCAATGAGCAAAAACAGGCTCCTTTGCTGACTTTGCTTACATAGGAAGCACACAGAAAAGGTAACAAAGCTAGGATATTTTCGTGTGCTTAAAAGTGCTGTTTCATAGGAATACTCTGCTTTTCGGCAGTGAGGGAAACCTGTATTTGAACATACAATCTAGAATAGCTATTCAGCTAATCTTTCATCCTATTTTAATTCTCTACACTCTAATGTTTATCTTCTGTCTCCACAAGCCTCTTGAGAATGGGAAATTTATCTGTCTTATTACCAGAGTACAAAACTCCTCAAAAATATTTATTGAATGAAGTAGGGCAGTGTGGAGAATGCATTTGACAATGGGTGAAGTGGATGTCTTTTAGAGTTGTAGTTGTTTAGGAGAGGAATAATGAAATAGTGTGGCGGTGGAGGCAAAGAGAAATTGACTTATGTGACCTCGATTTAGGAGGTAAGATTGAAGGACTTGGTGATGGATTGGATATGATGGTGGAAGATGGATAGGGGGAGGACAAGTACCTCCTGGATTTCTGTTTTGTATAGCTGATGGCTAATAGAATTATTCACTGAGATAAGGAATCTGGAAAAGAAACAGCTTTGCATGTTTCTTTATGAACTTGGTTGCCTTGGAGAAATACAAGAGGAGAAATTAAGTAGGCATCATGGATGCCTAATTCTGAGTCTGGAGCAGGGGGAAAAGCTACAGACTGCATGCTTCACATGGGTAGATTTTCAGTTATTGATCAGTAACCTGTTGACTACACATCTGTTACTTACGATATATTTCCAGTAATACTTTCGTACAGTTATATTATGCCATTTTAGTTACTCATCCTTAAAATTGTCATTATTTACTTTCTCTGTCTTTTCTGTGTTTTCATGAGCTATCACTGACTGAAATTGCTACAGCAAAAGTATTGTTACATAACCAAAAATGAAGAGAAATGACAGAGACTGCAAAGTAGACTTGGAGACATAATCCAAAATATATCTCTAGTTGTTTCCCCTTTTATTTAAAAATAAGATTTAGAGCACTCTTTAAATCCTTTGTAAGTATCTCTTTAGTTTCCCTGGGTGTAGTATAAGAAGTTATCTGATACTGAAATCAATCTTTGAAACAAAAATCGTATTTCTCACGTTTCCTGTAGGTAAGCTTGCTTTCTCTTTCTCATTTCTCTCCTCAGGTTTTTTTTTTTTTCCCAGACTCGGGGTCAGGGGAGTTGCCTCTTATCACAGCATGGCTCCACCTTTGATAGGACTACAAAGAAGAGCAGTCCTGTGTCGGGGAAGTAAGCATGGACATCTTCTAGCAAAAGGAAAGGAAGATCCTGCTCCCTTACCACTGGTAATTATCTTACTTAGGAGGAATTCACTCTTAACTGGAAGGGTAATGGGATGTTTTGAAAACTACCAGAAGCAACAGTAGCAGTCCTAATGAGAATTACAATTTTATGGGCAAAATGGACTAAAATGGAAACTCAACTTTGTTTTTGAAGCAGTATTTTGCAGTGATAGGATATCACATCATAGGCTCCTACCCCACCACTAGAGGGAGAAAAAATCCCACGCTTGTATGTGTATTTGATTCCTTTCACACATGGGAAACATAGTTCAATGGATCTTATATAGTCCTTCAAAATCCTACAAGCACTAACAGGCTCCGTTTCCCCCAGGATGATGTCATTTTCAGAAATTCCTGTTGCTTTTGCGCTTGGCCTGGTGTCTAGAAGCACACTGTTTCCAAGTGTGCTTCTCCTTAGTCAGGTGCCCTCACTGAGCCTACCCTGGAACCATTTCTCACCTTCCTGCTGCATGCCAAGTGTGCTACCTGTCAGAACTCTCCCTGACAGACAGCTCTCTAGCTGGAAGAGCTATTTTGGTTCTGTAGAAAGGTGGCTGTCATCTGAAAGACACAGAGATTTTCATTTTCAAGGCACTCAGGAGGTAGCAGGACAGGGTTTCTAGCAAAAACATGATCATAGGGAGAGTTTCTTAGCTCTTGTTTTTATTTACATATTTGATGCAATACAAATAAATTTTTAGAACACACTTTTAAAAAGGTAGGTAAGCCAGAACAGAATTTCAAGTTGTTACTTATAGATGACAATAGTTAAGACAAGCGGCTAAAGAACCCTATTTGGTTTTGTTTTTTATTCAGAGAAATCTTTGAATGGTAGAGTGTGAATAGAGGCTTACCTCTGTGTATAAGACTAAAAAACTCCACAGATATTTATATAAACACCGTAATTTCTGAACAGAGCTCATCTTTACCTGCAAATCTGAGTAATGTCTCATTATAAGCACTCTCATTTTTCATTAGTTTGGGATGGGGGAAATAGTGTGAAAATGGGATGTGCTAGAATTTATAACTTCTTTTTTTTGTTTTTTTAAAGATTTATTTATTTATTTATACAAGCACTGGGTACAGTCAGAAGTGCGGGAAGGTGAGAGAATTCGCCAGAGCCAGAGCGGGGAACAGAGCAGGCAGACTGACCAAATACACTGCTGAGGGGAGCAGTGGGCGCGCGGCAGGAGAGGTCTGTCGCGCCATGTGGGACCCTCGCCTGTGGCCCTGAGTGGAACCGGTGCTGCAGAGGCTGCAGGCAGCTTTGTAGCCCAGGGCTCAACTGCTGCGCCACCAGGGGAGGCCCGAATTTATAACTTCTTTAGTAACATGGGCACAACGTGCAGGAATGATACAAGTGGTTCTAAATTTTCATTTTTATTTTTAAATGAAGTGAACATTTTTAATGGAAACAGTAAGATTTCAATTGAAATGAAAAGGAAATAGTTCTGCTTTATTTTAATAATGTATCATGGCAGTGTATCTCAAAATCTAATACAATTTTGAACCTTAAAACTTTGTTAACAGCCTGTTCTTAAATGAACCACCTTTGTCTTGTGGAAACCAAGGCAATGCTTCATGACATTCAGTGTCCTAATAAGCACAATGCTCCTTCCAGTCTGACAGAACTGGATGTGGCTACAGTTCTTAGAATATCTCAATGTGATGGGGAGTTTGGTCCCTCCAGTAAGCTGTTTTATCACTATAGTACCCAGACTTCTATTTTGAATTTTATGCCTTTTCCAGAGGGAGGGAGGATAGCTTAGTCAGTATATATTCACTAAGAAATAAAATAAATCATTTAAAATGATGTACATGTGACAAATATCACAGCCTTATTTTCATGCAAGAACATTGGTACTAGAGGAAGTCTTGTTTCTGAAAAAATGTTTCAAAAAGATGAAATTCCTATTACAAGAACCACATTTTTTAAAAAGATCTAGTTCCGTGTCACTATGGAGGAGGAAAACGGCAGGAAGAATACATGCATGGGGGCAGTGGAGATCAGGCTTCATTTCCTTTTATTTTACCATTACATCTTGATTCTGATAAAGTATGCATGTGGAGGGAACAGTTGCTTCCTGAGAAGATTGTTTTGAGGCAAAAAAAAATCTATAACTTTTTCTTCCTTTCCAGTACGGGAAAAAACACCCTATTCAATGTCTTTGTGGTGACGAACTGCCGTCTGGGGAAGATGAGGCCAGTTCACTGCAGCTGTTAGGCCTGCTGGACCATAAACTAATCTCTCTGTGTTCTTCCTTCTTCTATCTTGTCTTAAGGGAGTATTTGCTGTTTTCCCTGCTATTCTTTTCTAGAATATAGACTAATCCTAATAACAAACAGGAATTGTTTAAGAAAGAAGCTCCACTTTCTACACATTCCCTTGACTCACCACTTAGAAGATAGTTCTGAGCTGTAAGTGATGGGTGCTAGAACCATGAGACTCTCTGTCCCTGTAAACTGTGTTTACATGTGGATAAGTCACCACTATGTGCGAAGATACTCTCCCCTTTTTGTTTTAGATTTGGGTATTTGGCTTTCAAAGTTATAGAGCTTGTACATAGTCACTGACACCTACACACACATTTGCAAGCAGTATCTTATTTCACGATTATGCACAAATAATGATGAAGAGCTTTTAGGTGCAAAACAGGTAATGTTTGTGTATTTAGACTGATTTTAAGGCTACAGATATTGAGGAATATGATATTAAAGATCTATGCCACCAAGACACATGAACTTTAAAGACACCTTTCCCTTAGAGAATGAACTATTTGATAATTGAAGGGAAGATATAACAGAGCCCACTGGGTGGTAAGGAAGAGAACAAGAGGGCTTATCTTACATATCCTGCCAGGTAATTGGTGTCATTACCTGCAAGTATCTGAATTCTTATCTCTGTATCTACACTGCCCTTGAGCCCAGAATGGATGGGCTGCACAAAGCCATAAAGGCTGAAATCTTGCCGGTGGCATGGCCTTCAGAGCTCAACACAGTTTAATGTTAGCTGTTGAGAGAAAATTTAGGACTCCAAGAAGAGGTGCCAGATTGAATTAAAATCAAGCAGCTCAATTCAAACACATTAGCAATCAAATGATACAACTACTGAGATAAATGCAAAGACAGAGAGGGGAAAAGATCTCAGCTATTCATGAATGCTAAGTAGGGAGCAAAAGACCAGCACAGGCATAATTCTTGTCTCCTTGGATTCTAATTCACCAGTAAGAATTACTTGACCCACCAGTGATTTCAAGTTGATGTTGATTCCACACTTAGACCAGTTTTGCTACTGAAAGCCTTTTTCACTCCTCTCACATAGAGCAAAAATGAAAAGAGATGATGTTAAAAATGGAACTGGAGAGTGTGTTTTTCAAATGGCAAAAGAAAGTAGGAATTTATAAAATGCCACTCTAGCAAATAACAAGGGCAATTTAATCTAATATTCCATCTGTGTTCATTCTCTAAAGCTAGTATCTTTATTTGGACTGTCATAGTACATGGGTACAGTCTTTTTTGGGAAACATTTTGCAATGATTCAGGGCCCATATTTTAAATTTTTTACATAGATGTATTAAATAAATGCATTATCTTCTACTTCCCACACTGAAACACATATAATCTCATGAAATATTATCACAATTTATGAGAGTCAGTTTGACATTTCAGTCTCTTGGCGTTTAGCAGATGTCAAAATGAAGAATCTTGAGTTCAGGAGAAAAAATAATTGTCTTGCTTAGTTCTCCAGACCAACAACTATTTCAGGTGCCTGGGGCTTTTCTCTTGGCATCTCCAAAAGGAGGACGTGAACTGCTCTGTAACAACCTTCCTTATAGCAATTGTTTATTGGAATAGTAGCTCACTTCTCCAAGGAAGACCAAGAATATTTTGCTGTTAGCCTATATTGTTTATTATCTCTTTCCAGAAACTTCAGCTAGATTTACCCTTATGCCCTTGTGTTCTCTTTACTCAGCAGAGATCTAAGGTGTCACTTGTTTCAAAGTGATACTCTTCTTTTGCATTGGTTCTGTTATGCAATTGATCACATGAACTGTACTTCTCACTATGTAAGTTAATAGTTGTCTGTGGAGTTGAAAAATAAAACCGAGTATGTAGTTTTTGTTGGGTTTCTTTAGCACCACTGAATCAAATGTTATGCTTACTCTTTCTTTCAAAAATGTTATCATTGATAATTTCCAAGAAACAGCAAGTATAAGCGATTATTTTTACGCTGTCTAAACTCTAAGGTGGCAAGACAGGCCAAATTACAGAAAATCAATTAGTTTTTGTTATAAGAGTCAGGTAGCCAAGGTCCTACTCTGTCTCTGGTTATAATAGCTAATGTCTGCTCCTTTCCAAAGGAATTCTTAGGAGAAAACCCTTCAAAGATAGTTTTATTGGAGCAAAACTAGATAAGACCTAGAAACGTAATCTTAGGTAAAATGAAGATGAAAGCAGAAATAATCACTTTTTTTCCTATAGTCTTAAAAAAGCTGTTAACATTTACTTTCTGAGGCCTCAAATTTCCCAAACTACAATTTCTGTTTCATACTACTATGCCTTTTGATAGATATAGCCACTGTCTATGGCTGTAATGTTTCCTATGTATTTGTGGTTTCATATTAAGTCTCATGTACGTCAGGAATTCTTCTCTATTATCCCTTGCTATAAACCAACTAACAAGTTCAATTGCACAAATACATGAAAGCCTGAAGTTTTAATTATTTCATGTCATTTTTTCCACAGGCTTATAGTCGAACATCCTTTTTGCCAACATTTCTCATAAAATATCCCTTGCTTTTCTATGTTTTTAAGGGAAGAGGTCTTGTTTTAAAGATTCATTTTGGTGTTACGTAACGTTTATATTATACCTAAGGAAACCTAAGAGATCGGAAAACAGATACATATCAATATATTTAAAAATAAACCACACTTATTAATGATTAGTGATTCTGTTTCCCTACTATAGAACAGAGCAGCCATAATCAACAAAATATCTAATT